TCAGCATAAATGTTACAAAGAGAGTGCTGCTTCTCTAAACATCTGTGCTACAATAAATGAGATGAGCATGGGGGGTGCAGGCGATAAAGAAAAAAATGTTCTGCTCTTTTTATTGTGAGGAAGCTCAACTGTGAAGAGGCATTGCATCATGAGCTCTAATGAAAGACCAGCTATTCCCCTTGGGAAAATGAAAGCACTTGCCTCATTTCCCTCTTACTGGCAGCTGTTGCTTAGGAATTTTGTTTGAGAATGAAATGCTGCTTTGGTTGACTTGAGAAATGCCTTTAATACAAATGGCTGCCAGTGGTGTGCACTGTAGGTGTTGTGAAGGACAGAATGATTTTTAAACAAATTAATAGCTCAGACTAGAAAATTAGTGGTTTAGACCCAAATACATAATCTGCGTGAGTTCTGGTGTATTCAGCCATGTCCTTGAGACTGGTTTTTGTCTTTCCCATCTGTGCTGATCTGAGGAAGTGGTAAGATCACATCAACATCAGGGAGTGGAAGGAGACCAGGAGCTCTGATGAGGAAAACATTTAATTGGGCTGGGAGGAGAAAGGGGTGTTGATGTGGCAGACATTACTGAGAATATAATTTGGTTAAGTGATGGAAGAGAACTTAGCTCAGGTTCTATTCTATACATTTTATTTAATTTTTACAAAAAATAGCATGGAAATGTTTGTGCATTGTTTTATAGAGAAAGATCATTTTTTGAGCACTAGCACCCAGAAGTGATATTGTTAAGTCTGGCAACATCTAGGTCTTGGCTGATGGAAGAAGACACAGTGTGAACCGCTCTGCTGGTTGTGCTCATACTTCACTCTGCTGCTGTGACATACACAAGGATCTTTGGTTAGGAAACTCATCACCAGGCCTGACTTTTGAAGAAAGGCAGTTTCCCAAATCCCTGCACCGTTGTGAGGTGTGTGCTGGGTATCTTGTAGGGCGTCAGAGATGAATCAGCTGCATCTGAACCAGCCTGGAGATGAATCATGCTTCCCTGTGCCTGAGCAGTGCACTGGCTTCGAGGAGCTGTGCCCAGTCTCACCTCCAAAATGCTCTTGCTCCTTTGTTTAAAACAGCTGCCTTTGGAGCAATTGCTTTCCCTGAGCAGGTGTGGCTTCAACCATTTGGCGGCCATTTCAAGAGCAAGATGTCAGAAGCACATTGTAAACCATGGTAGACATGATTGAAGTACTGCTGTTGTATTGGATGACTCAAGGTCTTCACAGGTAATAAATTTACGTGCTGAGATAACCAGGTGGAATTTGATCTGTTAGACAGAAGCAGAGTTAGCAGGGATAGCTTTTCTTTTAGTGGGCCCTGTTACGAAGGGCCTGCTATTTCCTTTGGGAAATGAGTTTGTCTAGTCTTCCTCAACCCACCTAAGTATGGTGGTCAGACTTACTTATTTTAACTTCTAACATGGCTAGCAAAACTGTATGGCAAAATTTAGGTGCCAGTTTATACTGAGAGCAATTCAGGCCCAGGAAAGTTGTGGGGAAGAGCCAGGGAAAAAAAAAAACTGTATAACATCTTGTTAGCTCCTCTTTGTATGTTGGCTAAGTATAATTAGGAAAATTAAAAGACACAGGTGCCTCAAATCTGTGTATTCTGCTTAATGACATTCAGTGGGAGCAGCTGACCCAGTGAATCATGGTGGGCTGAGGTTTTCTTGTTCAATAAACCCAGTGAGCTGTTCCTTTGTTGGCTTTCTGTTGGCAGCAGTCATGTGGGATTTACTGTCTCTGCAGTTTGTGTGACAGCAATGTGATTTTCTGTAAGTCCTGGTGTGGAGCTAGTGAGGAGGTTTTGTTTGCTTGGTTGAAGTTGTACCCTGATGAATTAGTTGGGGTGTTCTGAGCTTTTTGTTTGGTTGCAGGATGGTATCACCAGATCAATTCATGAAGATCTTGGTCTTAAGTTTCCAGTGGCATCGAGTTACTTCCTCTCCTGGGACACATCTTTAGTTTTCACTGCCTGTGGTCTTGATAGTGAAAGATGGAGGAGTAGGGTGAAAGTGATGACTGAAGTAAACAGCATTTCTGCCTATTATGTATTGTGTTTTTATTGAATGATTTTGGGTCCATTTGTTTGATTTAATCCCAGTAGTCCTGTTTGCATTCAGTTCAGAGATTTGCTATGAACTACATGCTGTTGAAATTAATTAAGGCACAGGCTTTGGTTGTTTAGAAGATTTGTTGGCAGAATGCTCACTACAAAAGGAGGCAATCCCCGCTTTTGTGTAAACACACAGATGTGTTTCTCGTGGGCTTCATTAAGCTTTGCCAAACTTGTCTGGCCTCTAGTGCTAGTGCAAGAAGGCAGAAATTCCTGTGGTATGCTCAAGTATGGAATCATGTCTCACTCATTTGAGGGAATGACAGCTGTCCCAGTGATGCCTCGTGGCCCACAGCTCTTTAGTGGAGCTGCACCTGGGAAGGCTGACTACAAGAGCATCACCAGGGCTAGTCTGTGGGAAATCTGCTGGCTTGAATGCTGGGCTTTGATGCTGTGCTTGGATTTTGCTTGTCATGCCTGCTTCCATGGTGATCCCCAGGATTAGAGTGATCTCGTGGGGTGGTGTCTTTTCTAACCAGATCAAATTTCTGTCATACTGGGAGAACAGTATGAAAACTCTTCTATGTGAAAATAGGAGAAAGTTTCTTGCTGTCTATTCATACCTACCAATTCACCAAGGTTTATTTCCTTGTCCTTTTTTTTTTTCTTTGTAATAATGCATACAGATAATTTCCTAGATGTCAGCCTTGTGAATTTTGCCCTGTGCCATTGCCATTAAAGGCAATAGGTTCTTTTTGTCATGTACAGTTATTAAAAGTCGTTTTTGTGGATTTAGACCTTGAGGGCCACAGAAGTTAACGTGGAGTGGTTGTTTGATTGTTTGTTTTTTCTTAAACATGTTTCAACATAAGAAAGGTGAGGTTTTTTCCTCTTTCCTAGTTAGTGTTTTTGCTTAATAATAGCAAATGATGTGGGTGACTTCAGTAATCCTGGTGACAGTTCCAGCAGGGTAGGTACCTGTTTGAACAATCAGCAATGAATTAATAATAAGCATTAAAGCTGAGGTGTCCAGTCTTGGAATTTTAGTATCAATATTGTTAGTAGATTGGAGAGGCATGAATTCCACAATGTGCTTGTTGTCTCTGAGGTGAGTCTTGGCTGGTATCCATGTGAAGAAGGTTGTCTGCACTTACACCGACAGGGAACATTGCAAGTTAAAGTGTGGATTCTTGAAATGTGTCATATAGCTATCAGATAGAGGCCTGTAGTCCGTTTACTGTCCCTTTAGCATCCACTTTTCTTCCTTTGTGTCCGTTTTGTTTGCCCCCAGATTGAACACTATAAAGCTGAACGAGCCTTTGGGGAGATGAAGTGGGCAGTTTAAATTAAGCTGTCTTTCTTTATTATTTGGGGCAGAGGGAAGATGAAAAACAGAAGGGCAAGAAGGTTACATTTCTCTAGGGAGAATAGAGACTTGAATTCTAAAAACATTTGGTAATTTGGTATTTGTAATATAGTAGGTGGGGTCTGGCAACTGTGCAAAATGCTACACAATCTTAGAGTTGTGCTTAAAGAACTAATAGCACAGTGGTCTTTTACTGGTGTACCTTTTTTGCCTCAGTTTCCTGACCTTGAAATAAAGGTATGTTCTCAATGTTATGCAGGAAATCGGTATCTGAGCCCAGATCAGAATTCAAGGTTTCTGGCTTCAAGTTCTCCATTCAGACCATACCTTTCTTTTTATAGCTATGGGAAAAAGTCTGCCTCCAGCATGTCATTTTATGAAATGCCATATAGGAAAAGCAAAACTAAGCCTAAAAGAGCTAAAAATAATTGTTTTTAAATTAGGAGACAGAAGAAATTCAGCAGATTCTTTCTGGCAAGTGAAATCTTACAATGCCACAGCAGATGTGCTCATCTTTGGGGTCGTGTCTCACAAACTGAAGTGCCTGCAAAAGTTGTGTGCTGAGTTGTGCTGAGTGGTGTCCAATAGAGTGGGATACCCAACAGGCCATTGCAGTCAGGGAAGCCCTTTCTTAGGATACATTACTTTGGAATGTATTTGTGAGGACAGATGGAACAGTGTCTTGGTTTGTCTGTAGGGTGAATGTGCTCAGGTGTTCTCTGAAAGCATCTTCAAAGCTTCTCCCTTTTCTAATTGAAGCCTTAAATCATCAAAGCTGAGAGCTGAAACTCTTACATACTATATAAGGCATTTGTGCCAGTGGTAGAAACTGGAGTGTATTTATAACACTGGTTTGCTGCTGCGGGAATACAGATTGGGAACAAATGTTTACTTGGAAAAAATCCAATTCCAGGGTCTTCTTTTACTGCTACACGTGAAATCCATAGCAACTTTGTAAAAGCAACTGTTGAAAAATCTTAATAGGGCCTTCCCCATGGAAAAAAACATGCAATTGGTGTAACATTATGTATGTGGAGAGTTACTTCTGATGGTTTACGTAGTAGGCAGTGACCCTGTATATTACATTCTGTCTGTCACATTGGAATGCAGGGATGTGCCATTGTTGGCACATGCTGGGATTGTTGGGGTACTTGTTGGGATGTGCTGCTGTTTTCAGATGTACTCCTCGTTTGTTCAGTAATACCTATTATCCAAGTAATAGTTAACGAAATTTTTAAGTATTCTTAACAAGATGGCATAGCACTGACATGAGGAAATCAAGCCATAAAATGAGCTGAGCTGTTTTGCATACTACTGCAAAATATTTGAAGGAAAACAGTTGCCAGCAAAAGGGCACAGATTAATTTCGGTGTATTGATTAAACCATCTCCCTTCAGTCCCAGTGTTCTGTTTGATTTGCTTAATGTGTTAATCCTTTCTGTTGCTGCACAGCTAATTACTGTTATGTTGTGCCTCTGTGGAATAATTACCATTTGGACTAAGAATGTTTGTGTCCAGAATCATAATTTATTTTTTGTTGAGTTTTAAAACTGCTGTCTTGTTTTTGAAGGATGTTCAGAAGGAGAGAGAACCTCATGTTTATCTCAGTAAGGAAGAAGTTAAAGAGAAGATACAAAGCTATAATTCATCTGTCACTGATAAATTAAAGATGACCTTGGTAAGTTATGCATAGAATTCCTGTAATTTTTAATGTTAAGTTGTAACTTTGTAGTGCATTGTGACTTGTTTTATTCTCAGCATGTTACATATGAAACTCTCTCTGTTTAAATGATTTTCTAAGTGACCATTCCTTAGATTGGCAAGTCAAAACTCATGTCTGAAATGCTTTTTATCCCTGTAGCTCTTTTACATGGATCAAACCAAAGTGCTGTAAAAACAAACTGATGTAATTTGAAATGTGTTTAAGGTAAACTGTAAGCTCACACTAAGGTGTACATTTGTCATCATTTTCTTACAAATTCTGAAAACGCTCAAATGGTAAAAATGAAGGTATATTTTTCTTGTTTCTGCAGATAAATTTTTGTCAGATTTCTTTGATAAGGATGCTCAAGCAGTGATAAAAGTTAAAACATGAAGTATTTATTATAGGATACTTAACTTTCAGAGTAGTCATACATGTTTTCAGCATGAAGAGACTTTCTTCCCCCAAAAACCGTAGAAATTACAAACTGAAATACATAAGACTTCTCATTTCCAAGGATTATGAACCAGGTCTAACATTCAGTTCAGTCTACTCAAGACCATACTAACAAAATTCACATCTATCTCCTTAGCAAGCTGTTACTCAGTTGCTCTGCTGTCCAGATTTTCTAATACATGGCATATTCATGTGGGTGTATATGGAAATGTTGAAATTCCTTATATCCTAAACCATATAAGTATGACTGTGTACTAAAAAGATATTTGTTATGTGTTTGTATGTGGATCAGGACTTAGTATGGCTAAAACCAGATAGTCAAAATTTTTCTAGCTCAGTAAGGTTTGATTTACTTCACTATTCTATCTTTCAAAAGCAACTGATATAAACAATATCAGATGTTAACTGGATTGGCATTTATTTTGGGGTTTTGCCTGTTTTTTAGGGGGGTTTTGTTTCGGGTTTTTTTTTGTTGTTTTTTGGGAGTTCTTTGCGTATTTTGGTTGGGATTTTTGATTTATTTGGAGTTTTTTGTTTTGTTTGTTTGTGGTTTTTTTTGTTAGTTAGGTTTTTTTTTTAACACGATTTGACCATCTAAATGCCTTAGACTAAGTTGACAAAGACTGCTAAAATGTGGGAGACAGTTTCTGTGTTTCTGCATTAAATCTGTTGATGAAGATGGGTGTTAGTGATCTTTTTCGCTTCATAGTTCTCTCCTAAAGTGAAAACTTATTTCTGGTATGTTGTACCTTTTGCTTGATTAAGTCCTAATATACTTAGAATTCAACAGTTATTATTAAGAAAAAATTAATACTTAGTAGTTATTAATAAGAAAAATTAATATTGAGAAGGTATTCCAGAAAGAATAATTGAATTACCAAAACAATACCTTTCCTGTGAGATGTCATGTATTGCAGTGGTATTTAAATAGTGTTCACTGTGAGCATTTTCATGTAGTTGCTCCACTGTTGCGTCACAGGTGGTCATTGCTGATGATTTTAACAGCTCAAGCCTTTCTTTCATTGCAGAACGCGAATGGGATTTACACTGGCTTCATCAAAGTGCAGATGGAACTATGCAGACCCATCACTGTGCAGTCCTCCCAGAGCCAGGGGAGGTACACTCCCAGCAATCAGGAAACTGCTTTCTACTTGCCGGACGGCTGCGTGAACACCCTCCACATCAGCAGCACCAACACTGTTCGGGAAGTTATCGAGGCCTTGCTCAAGAAGTTCTTTGTGGCTGACAACCCTGCTAAGTTTGCACTTTATAAACGCTGTCACAAGGAAGATCAAGGTATAAGCTGAGCTTTTGGCATTTTGGTAGTGGAAGGGTTTGGGGAGGGAGTTGTGCTATAGTAATACTTGAAGTAAGCAAGGTGGAAGAACTCAAATAAATGGGGGTGACAATCTTCCTACCTTGTCTTTTTTTCCATATGTAACGTAGCGTGGTAAGACAGTAAAAGGCTGGGGATATTTCAGGATAATTCATCCAAGACAAAGTCACCTGCTAAAACATTACATAGCTCTCCTGTGCTTTGCAGTCCATTTTATTTTATGCCCTTATCAGGTCCTAAATTTTAGCTGGCCTGCTATACTGCAGAGTTGTGAGATTAAGTTACAGGACGGGTTTTTAAAAAGATAAGCCATGGTGTCTGTGATGTATGAGGTACTGGAACTGGCAGACCGCTCTTGAGGTGGCGACCATGGGCACGTGTGTTGTGCTCACGTGTTAGTGCACGTGGCTGTCCCTGGGCACTGGCTATTGTTGGAGTTTGTTTTAAGTTGTGATGGAAATACCAGAAGATGGAAAAGGGGTCTTTTAGGGAAAGGTGCATTTTGCCAATGCTGTGTTCTTGCACTTAAAATCTGCCTTCCTTCCGTGGACATTGAGAGCAGTTTCAGTAGTTCAGATGTTCCTGGCTGTCAGGCAAGCAGAGTTGTCTTTTAGACTTTGTGCGTGAAATTTTAGGTGGAGAAGGTAGCAAAACAGTGATACACAGCTCTGATGTCATAAATGCTTAGATAGAGCAACAGATCTGTGTGTTGTATTTTTTTCTTGTGGGTTATTTTTTCCCCCCTGCCCTGCATGTACTGTGTTGACTGGAGGCCGTTTTATTCCTGTGCAAAGGCAGTGTTGCACTGTCACCATCAGTCACCTGCTCAACTCCTCCCTAAAACTCACTGCTCAAAACCAGTATGTAGACTGATAGATAAACAGTGTGTAAATTTTGGCTGCGTGTGCATCTTTCTGAAATTTTTTTAGCATTAGCTAGCATTAGTCATTCCAAGTGTTTGAAACATTGTTGGTAAAGATGATAATTACTGTGGTTTCCTTCTCCTGCAGTTTATACCTGCAAGCTGTCAGACCGAGAACATCCCCTCTACCTGCGCTTGGTGGCAGGCCCCAAAACAGAAATGCTCAGTTTTGTTCTACGTGAGCATGAAACTGGAGAAGTCATGGTATGTCACATCCTCCTGGGTCAGTGTTGGTGTAACTTCATGGATGAATGGCCTTCTGTTTGAGCTGTGCTGACTGGGCAGATCATTTTTTGGAAGCAGACATTTTTCCCCCGTTAATTTCCTTTGTGCCTTCCGTAAACATTTCATTTGTGGTTAGACTGACCTGTTGTTACCTGCAGAAGAAAAAAGCTATTTAAAAGAGTAAAATATTTTCAGATGCCCTAAGATTTACAAGGAAGGTGCCTGATACTGTTTCAGTTGGAAATTGTCTACAGTGTCTGAGGTTTTGTTTGGAAATACTGTATATATAAAAGATTTGTGAATTTTCTGTTGCCCTCATCCATTCTTTGCTCTGTCTTTCCAGTGGGAAGCTTTTAGTATTCCTGAACTGCAAAACTTCTTGCGCATACTGGACAAAGAGGAAAACGACCAGCTGCAGATCTTGAAGAACCGCTATGCAGCTTACAGGGTCAAACTTGAAGAAGCCCTTCGTGGGGTGCTGAAACCTGGTTAAAAAGGGGCCAAAGGACACTCAGGAAAACGCGCACTACCAAATGTCAATAGAGCATGCCAAACCCAACGTACAAAGAGCAGCAGAGAGTAGTTTTCTTTGTTCAGAAGACTGTTTTGTGATGCCAGGGTAGACTTAGTTCCATAAGCCAGGTCACTTAGCATCTTGCACCCACAAGTAAGGGATTCTGCATGTTTGTACATCAGTTTGCAACCCTCTGTGTGCCTAGAGAATTTCCCAAGTTATCTTGGTGCAAGCTGTGAAACTGTAAGCAATTTCCTAGGATGCTATGAAATAATACCTTTGTTTTTCTCCTTTGCTGAATCTTTACAAGTAAGGATGTGCAAATTGATGGGTTAAAAAAAATTATTAAAGCCATTTGGATGAGAATTAGTTAGAGCACTATCTTAGAGATGAAATTGATTTGCACTACCTTTCTGTTTTTGAATAGTTACTGTATAATTTGTTAGAGAGCTGTTATAGGTGGAAAGCTTATGAGATCCTGTGGTTTGTACTGTGAAATTGTGGAAAGGTTTTAAGTGGTCTTCGTGAAGAAAGTAAAGAGAAGGTTGAAAAGAAGGTAAGAGTTGGGGGAGAAGAACTCTAATAGCTGTCAGGAGGCTTCCAATGAAAATAGTATTTACACAGAGGAAAGTTGAAATACTAATTCTGCAAGGTTAAAGTTTTAGTATGTTTTAATATTGTGAATAAGTTTTATGGTTTTTAACTGTGTAAATCCACACTGGAAATGAAATAAAGATAATAGAAATAGTGGGAAGGAACGAGAAGCAAAAGCTAAGTAAAAATAGAAATGGAGCTAAACATACTGGTCCCTTTTGAAGAAGCTGATTCTATAAAGGCATATTCAGGGTTTGAAAAGTGTGGCAAACCTAAAAAGCTGCTTACTTGAATTCTGAAAAGTGGTCCATGTCTCAGATAACTCTGTGAGAAATACCTGTCTAGCAAGGGTGCAGGCATAAGCTACAACTACAGATGCATTTGATCTTTATTGTAAGTCAGGTCTTCCTCTGGCCCAGTGATCCATTTTTAGGCTGGATAATCTTGAATTACCATATCTGACAGACAGAAATAGCTTCCTCTGCTTCTTTCTCTGTTAAAAGCTCATTCCGGCAAAGAAAGTAGAATTTCTTACTCACATTTCCAGCCCAGCAGAACATGAACATTTATTGTCTGTTTTGGTGGCTGAGCTTAGTAACTCTTGTTTTTAATAATTCAAAAGGTTTTTTCCCTTATGTTTTTTAAACTCTTAATTGAAAAACTGATTACCAAATTCTGCAGACTGCTGATTTACTTGATTTAAAAGTAGGAAAAATGTAGCAAGAAAACTTTTTACTTTAGTGTAAATATAGTTGTTGTTCTTTCAGAGTTATTTATCTAAGAAAAAAAAAAAAAAAGCATGTTCAAAAGAAACCAAAGAAGTGGGTGTGCAATAGAAGCATGGAAGCAGGAGGCAGATTTGAGTGACTGATACTGTAGTCATTATCATGCCAGAGAGGAAATTAGTTATGTATGGGAGGGTGGGGGAGTGGAGGAGTGCTAAGGATTGAAGAGCAGCAGAAGTTGTGCTGCGGGTTTTTGCCCTCTGTTCTTAATGTGTTCGTTTTAAATTCCCAAGGAATGGTTAAAACTTTGGTGACATCTAATGGATACTGTGTGAAACTCCAAGATGCTTCTGTTCTTCCCCTTAATTTTATTTAATTGTGCCTTTGTTTCCTTTCCTTAGTAAGATTCTTTTTAAAACTCTTCACAAGGATTTTAGGTAAAAAGAATTTGTGAGCTTATGAGACAATCATAATGTTTTAAAGAGTTAAGAGAAATTAAGAGTAGGACTAACTATAAAATATATCTAAGGCATATCTTGTTTGTTTTTGTAATTTCACATGTAACATTGTAGTGCATGTGTGAGTTAGTAACATTATCCTCAAGTGAGACACTTTATAATGGTTCAGGGAATGCTTTTGAGTTTTGTTACAATTTGTTTATCTAGGAATGCAGCAGCGTGTTGGTGGGTATTCTGTTAACATCTGAAGTTATGTTTCTGCCCATAGCTATGTAATCATTGCATAATTGCTGTCAATATTGAACCATTTGTTGCTCAGATTTAAACACTGTTTGAGTTTTAAAGTTGAGTATAAAAATATGTGAATTTTGGTTTTACTTGAACTAAACTTTCAGTCTTTTAAAGTAGGCACATCTTCATTTACTTTAGCCAGAAACCTCAATCAGTGTTGTATGCACTATGAGTCTTGATTTGGGGTGAAGGGGAAGGGGGTGGGGGACCAAAATAAACTTTTATTTTAATTGTCTTAGTCCACAGTTAATTATTTTAAGATGTCATGTGTGGAGTTAATTTTCTTTCTTGTTCTACACACTGGCAGTTACAGCAGCTTTAATTTAAAATAAATGGTCATGCCTGGTCAGTTTTTTCTTTTTTTAATTTTAGCATCAAATTGAACTGTCAAAGCTTTTGTTGCAAAACTGTTTTCTTGTCATTATGTGATGGTACCAGAATGACTAAATGATGAGGGAGGGGGAATGCAGGGAAACATTAAAATGTATGTCTTTAAATACAAACATTTAAACTATTTATAATTTTAACAAGCTTAGTTTTATTTTTGTAGGGAAGTTTTTATTCCCCTTAAAGTTATTACTGAAATGGCAGAAAAAGTGATGGTTCCATTATTAAAGCTGAAGTTGGCAATACTTGGTTATGTGACATGTGTTTGGTGTTTCCTTTACCTGGCGATGTGTTGTGTGGTTTTGAGGCCAAGTGGATTTCTGTGTAGAGCAGCAGTGAGTCCTGTGGGCAGGATTCACACAGCTGGCCTTTAGCCTAAATTAAGGTTTGCCTGGGAGAGAGGGAGGGAGCGGAGCTGAGAGTTGTGGGGCTCATGGAGCTAACCCCTCCCTAGGGGGAGTGCAGAGCTGCTGGGTGGGACAGCCCATGGGCGAGTGGTTTCCTTTCTGTTAAAAAACACCTTGCAGAAATGAGGCCAACACACCAAGGCTGGAGGTGATACTCTGGCCCTCTCTCTCCAGGAAATGCTTTTCACTCCTTTTTATCTTTAATGGCTTTTTAGAGGTTTTCTGCAGTAACATCCATGTTTAATTTCCCAGTCACTTACTCTGTGTTTCATGGAAGTGGTTTATTCCTCCCTGGTTGAATTGGTAGAGGGGAGCTGCTGAGCTGTTTGCTTTGGTGTCTGTGGCACTTCCCTAGACACCGTGGCTCCACAGCAGAGGAGATGGCAGTGGCTCAGCCAGTGCCTTGAAGGCTGGTTTATGGGAGACCTCATGGTTTGGTGTATGCAACAACCCCGTTACGCCTGTGCGTGCACTTGGTAAGGCCTGCACAGGGCAAGTACTTCAGCACTCAGCCAGGGTGAGGTGGATTAAAGCCTTAAAGATACTGGAGTCAGCAAAGCTGCTGACCACCCAAGTCTCTGGGCTCTGCCTGTGGCGGAGTTATCTACTACCAGAAATCCAACTCAGCAGAAGAAATCTCATGTGTTTTGGCTGGACAGGGGCAGAATCATCCATCTGAAGACTGACGAGTTCAGTGCTGAGGCAGAGCAGGACAGCAGCACCATCTGTGGAAGCAGTTGGGCCACTCCTCTCCATGGCAGGGATCAGCAGATTGTTGGTCTGCTTTGTCTTCCTGCAGGCTGAAGTTTTAGCGCTGAAATTTTTAAACGTTTGCAACAAACCCCACCAGACTCCATTCCCTTCCTCCCTCCTGTGTGTGTGTGAGTATAGAGTGGTTTTCTTTCCTTCCCAGGTCCCCAGCATGGGGATTTCCAGTGCAGCCCTTGCAAGTTTTGTCAGCATTCACTTTTTACCACCTCCCATTGATCTAGAACCATTCAGGTATGTGTTCCTCCTTCATTTTAATGTTCAATGGCATGCTTTTGTTTGATGGGAAATAACTGTCCTTTCAAAACTTTCTATGCTTTTCATCTTGCAGGAGCCTAAAAATTACTATTTAAGTTCATAGGCAGGAGAAATAGTTTCTCCTATAAAACTGCAAAATATAAACATTTTTTAGTAAGTGAGTTTTGAGCAAAACAATGCTGACTACTGCAGTATTCATACATTCCCAGAGGGAGCTTTGTTAGTATACCTCAGACTAATGATAAGGAATAAAACTGTCTAGGATTATGGCAATTTTTGGTTTGTATTTGTTTCAGAAAGTAAAAACTCATGAAAGTCTATATACTTTTAGCTTGGGCCTGAAAGCTCCACAGACTCCTTAATTTAGTCTGAAGTACCAGTTTTAGCAGATTGTTTTAAAAAAAAAAAAGTTAATTCCTTGTTACTAGTATCTCTGGAATAAAGTCCTATTACTTTAACTAACTTTCCAGTCCGATGTTGTCTTGTTTCTTACATCTACTTTATAATTAATTTGGTGCCATTTTGAGACTTCACCTCTTTGTCTTAGTTTGATCAAGTGAATAAGAAAGCTGCAGAAGATCTTCACAGGACTCTGAAAGGTTCAGAGTCTCTTACCCTTGATGATGAAGGCAAGTGGATGACTTCCAAATATAGCATCTGCTATATCTGCTTGGTCAAGAAGTGGAGACTGTACTGAAAATTCAAACCAGGTAAGAGGAGACACACTGTGATTACTGTTTAGAACACAGGTTTAGTGCTGTGAACTGAAGACTTACCTGTTCTGGAGGAATTATTTTCCTCTTGATGTGTGAATGGGTGAAAGAGATTGCTGCAGTAGCCAGTATGGAGAAGTAGGCAACGCCCAGTTCAGAGCAGTTTGAACCAAACACTTCAGACACTGAGCCTGGCTGCTGGCACTTGTTTTGTGGTATTTTTCAAGGAAATACTGCCAAGGCCAAGACATGTTTGTCTGAAAAGCTCCTTTTTGTGTTATGTGCTAGCAAGGTGAGAAGTAATCCCAGTGTTCTTGTTTGCCCTTGTGCAAGCTGAAATTAGAAGTGTTTTCAGTTGCAGCAGTGTAGGCCTGAAAGGGACCCTGCCCAACACCCTGCACTGAGGCACCCAGTACTAGCAAATGGCTTCTCAAGCTGTTTCCTTCCTGCTTTCCTCAAAGGTGTTTTTTAAAAATTGTCTTTTTATTGCACTTTCTGTTCTCTACCTCTCCCTCCACAACTTTTGGAAAGGGCAATGTTCACAACTGGATTTTTGAATTTTTTTTTTTTTAATCCAAGGATTATTCCTTCAATTGCCAAGTCTAACTTTTTATGATGCTGTATAAAGTACTAACTTGGTGCTGTCTTTCTTCCGTGTATTTTCCATATGGATAAGACAGGATATTACAGATAAGGTAGTTCTGTTTTGCCTTCGCTTTACCACTAATACCAATGAGAGAAGTAGAGTGCAAAGCTCCCTTTGCTAACTCTGTAAACCTAAATATAGCATTGTGGCCTCACATATAGCATGAGAGAAAATAGCATTACAAGTCTAAGATTTCTCTCTTGAAATACAGAATCTGGAATGTGATCAGAAATTTCAGCTGTTTCCAGCATGTCTCAGGAGGAATTGGAATGCCAGTATATTTTATGACGGTGAAGTTCAGCCTCTTGGTTTTTTTCCCAGGCAAAGTTGTATTAGAACACTGACTCTGAAGCTCTCCCTTCAAATAAACAGGTGCTTTCTATATGCCAGTAATCCTAGACAGTTCTTTTAATCTAGACTTGTCAGATGATACTTTCAGAATCTGATCTCTTTGCTCCTAACATTTTTCCGTAGATGTGAGTGAGCAGATGTTAGACACTTCTGTATTTTCATCTGCTCCGGTTTGTCGAATGAGCACTCACAGTCAGAACTTGTGGGTTTTTAGTAATACTGGCACAGAAGGGCAGCATAACTTGTACAGAGTATCTTTTAACACCTGTTGCCAAGTGACAGCACTCATTTTTAAATGTAAACTAGGCTGCTGAAAATGCATGTCACATGGAAAGAACACAATACCTACCTTAGTTCAATCTATGTAAATAAAAGATGTATCAGAAGATGGTTTCCAGGAAGTTTACAGACTTTACACTAGAAGTTTTGTTGAACAGTAGGTCTAGGATTGGTCATCTGCGTAGTGCTGCTTCAGAGCCTGGAGCAGCCCAAGGGCAGGAGGACACTTTTCTAAAGGTGGGGCTTAATTGCTGCTGGTGTTTTTTCTTTAATACTCTACAGAGAAGCTTTTGAAGTTACTATACAATTGCAAAAGACTTGAAATACTTTTGTGAAGTTTTTGAACACTTCAAAAGTAGAGAAGAGAATCCACTAAGCAGGTATCCAGTAAAAAATGTAGTTAGCCCTGTAGTGTAAGACTTACATGTTTTTGGTATTATTTTAAAAGATCACAGCTAAGCAAAACCACAACACACTTTTTTTTTTTTTTTTTTTTTTTTTGCTTAGGATTTTCATGCTGTAGGAGAAGGGTTATGTTCTTGGTTTGAATCAGTAATTGTAATGCTTTAATCTACTGCCCATTTTAGTTAGCTGGTAACACGGCAGAAGCCTCAGGACAAAGGTAGATCATGTGAGCTCTGCTGATGCTTCCACTGATTTTCATCAACAGCATGAGAATATCTCCATGAATCTGTAGTCTCATCCTTGATGGCTTTGCTGTCAACCCATAGGAAACAACAAAGTCATTCTTGCCAAGCAAGGGTCATGCAGCTGGCTTCTCCCTAGAACTTGCACAGGAAAAATGAGGAAGTGGTTGATTCAGTTGAGTTCTATCAAGTCTCTCTTATTCCTGTTTTTAGAAAATGGGTGGATTTTAGCAGCTGGAATAAGTTCAAACAACTTCAACACCTTGAAAGCAGATTACTCTGAGATTTGTGAGCAATTACTGGACCACAGCTCTAAACACAGTCCAATGGATATTATCAAAATACTGACAGCTGAATCTGACTAGAGCAGCATCTGGAAAGCAATATATTAGCACTGCCCTTTCTTTCTAATCATGGAATTCCCCTGCTCCATCCCTTGAATGAAATACTAAGGCTGTGTAATTATTTTCCAAAATCAGGTGACTCCTTTAGCCTTGTAACAGCAGTTTTCTTCACAAATGTGGCTTGTTCTTAGAAATCAATGACAAGGGGATGTGGCAAGCTTCCATGACCCTGATGGTAGTGCCACTTGGGCTGTCAGTGACGGGAATGTCTAAGTAATATAGAGCTGTCCTTTCTTGCAGTGCTACAGTAAACTCTATAGTTTTCATAAGCTGGAACATCAAAAGAAAGCAAGCAATGTGCAGGCAGCCATTAAATATTTTTGTCTACTTAATGGAATACTGCTGCCTCCTTGCTGAAGGAGAGATGAAACTGATACCACATGGTTAAGCAGAAATGCAACTAAAATGCAGAAATACATATTTTAATAGCTTGTGAAAGCCTCGGACTTAAATAGGTTAAAGTACCACCTTCTATAGTTCAGTAAATGTATGTAGTACTTTTAACAGAATCATCCAAGAAATTCAGCTCTGTAACAGGGACTGTTGGTCACAGTTCCCATTTTGGAAAAAGCCTCATGTGAGATTTTATTCTTCCTCTTTTCTGGGGCAGAACATATTACACTTAATTATGAACAGCAGTTTTCTCCATTGTGCTTTCTGTTTTCCATCTCTTCAACTACACCAGTTTCCAAGGAAATGCAAGCAAGTACAGGTTACAGTTCACTCGGTCCCTTCACCTCAGGGTTTCTTCCTGGTGCAAAGCAGTCAGGTG